CTCTTTCTTTCATTCTTTCTTTCTTTCTTTCTTTCTTTTCTTTCTTTCTTTCTTTCTTTCTTTCTTTTTGTTCGTAACATATCGGCGAATCTTGTACATTAACGGGAGGAGTTTTTTCAGACAGGGAAAAAAAATGAATAAAAAGGCTTATATGATTAGTGATATATTCTAACCTTCAGCGTTAGGTTTTTTCCTCGTTATTACAACCTGTATCACATAAAGTATCACCAACAGCACGATTACGGTCACACAGGCAGCTATAGCAGGAACGCCTAGAGCAGAAACAAAATAAAGTTAAAGGTCACAGGCTCTATAAATTCGGTTCGATTTGGTGCTACCGGATGACAAATATGTCATTTACATACACCGTTGCGTGCCGACTGCATATGGTTAGATAACAGAAAGAACAATAAAATCCCTTTGCTCTTGGGAATTGAATTATTTCTCATGTAAAACGATTGTATTATCCCTGCTATCTAACATGGCTGCCGTCACGTGGTGGTGCAAAATGGAGCATGTGTAATAGGACATTTACATTATGACGTCATTAGATACATCTACCAGAATCCCTTGCACACTTTATTTTGTTCAGTTAACTAGCACCAATAGACCCCTTCACAGTTCCCTGCGCCATCTTGAAAGGTAGCTATGCCTTTGCATCGATGCGAGACGAACGGCGAGCTTGCAATGATAGAGACCTTTTTTAACACCTTGAACAATTATTCACAGGTCTCTATCATTGCAAGCTCAACGTTCGTCTCGCTTCGATGCAAAGGCACGGCTACCTTTCAAGATGGCGCAGGGAACTGTGAAGGGAGACTATTGTCTTACTATTCTCATGAGGCATTAAAAGATTCAATAGGAAAGGAAATTTGCGAAACATTTTGGCATAGTGGGAGTCAAATGATGCCAGAACTCATTGCACATTGCAAGGTCATGGAAAAGAGATATGGTCAAATATTGACACAGACAACCAAAACACTAACGTTTTTTTGCTCACACAACCAATAAATAGCGTGATTTCAGTACTAGGAAATAATAAAATGGAAACTATGGCACGTACAAGAAATGAAAGATCACATAGTAAAAGAAAAAAAAACAATCGTCCCCTCTTCGATTCGATCTCTCTTTGCGTAGCTAAGTACGCAGGTTATGGAACATGTATTTGGTATGAATGTCCTCAATGCTATTTTGTCTGAAAAATTATGATTAGTTTGAGCAAATTTAAAAGATGTCTTACAGGTTTTAGACTCTGTAGTATAAGTGTTTTCTTTCTGTATTGAATCACAGGTTTTGTTACTGCCATTAATATCTAAAAAAAATAAGAGAAATAGGATTATCTTGAGCATGAGATAAATCACATTGTTTTTCTTCATCTTCTTCTTCTTCTTCTTCTTCTTCTTCTTCTTCTTCTTCT